TATATACCCGCACGCACACGCACATATACGCTTATGCACACACGCACGCACGCACACACACACACAGACACACGCACACACACACACACACACTCACACATAAATATTGCCTTTTTTTGCATTCCCCGGCTAGACCTCAGGGGTAGTCGACTGTTAGTTCTTAAACATGCAGTGCATCTGACATTTACGCATGTGAGCGTTTTTCTTCCGATTTTGAAGATTCTCTATTATTCTCGCACTGACTAGTGTATTTCCTGTTTACAAGAGCAGGGTCGCCAAATCGCATTTAAAGTACGTGATTACAGAATGCTCGTGAAACAAAAGTATCGGTACAGGTATCAGTATTTATATAGCTTCCTTGTTTTGAGAACCGTCAACAGAATGTTTTCCACATGCTTTTGAGAGTACAACATGAGAAGTTCTTGCGTATACTCGTGGCCCAGGCATAAAGTTTTGAAAAAATTTCTGGGTGACAGTCGAAGTCTACTCTTGTCTCTTTTCAGACCACCAATGGATCTTTTACGAGCGCAATTTGCGTACTCAGATTTATATGACATTCCGATAAGCAGTTTTATCATGGTCGGCCTGATTGAGCCTAGTTATGCTCGAATCGTTAGAAAATTGTATCAACTTGGAGTTTTTGTTGGTAATTTTACAGTAGTTCATGTACAGCAAAAACAAAACTGAAAGCAAAACACATCTTTGTGGGCCCCCTGTACTTATTGTGGTGTACGTCAGGAAGGAAAGTTTCAATTTTACGTATTGAGTTCGGGTTTTCAGAAAATTCCCTATCCAAGGTGTAAACATTGACTTTTACACATACGGGCTGTATTGTTAGTATGTGGTCATCAAGTTTTGAGAAAGAAAATGTCATCTCGTAACAAGTTTAGTGAGTAAATTGCAGTCTAACCTGTACTAGACAATCACCTTCACATGCACTCGTTTTCATTTTCCTTGAGAGCTTTTTACGTTATATATTGGCTCTGCTTAAGACATTGAGCTGTCTAAGACAATCACTCATCCCTCTTCAACGATTGGTTGATCGTCTTGCACAATTTTAACAGTATCACCAAATGTCAGCAATAGGTCAATCAATTTTGCCCAAACCGGCCACTTCAAGAGAGGTCACCCAATACTTTCGTGGATTCGACTTCGACGTATTGTAGACGAACCGTTCGGAGTGCATACCCATTTCAGTGGTTGCGTTTTTATTATATTGTATTGTGGGTCAATACAAGTTGTTCGCGGGACATATTACACAAACATTTCCCAGCCCTATCAGAAAGTAATTGGTTGACAGAAGGCAGAGTGTCACTGACTGGTGAATTGAGATGAGGTAAGATTAAAGATTGTTCTGTTTTTGTTTTGTTTTCCTAAAATTTATGGCATAATCACTCATAAAATACGGCACTTTAAAAGCAAAGTTTCTATTTTCCTTTCCAAGACTCAGTGTTTGGAGACATGTATACACAAACACACACACACACACACACACACACACACACACACACACACACACACACACACACACACACACACACACACATTTTAATGACAAATTAGATTACATGTGTATACATCTAAATCTTTGATTCTGTGATTTTGAGGATGTAAGTCACTTCGATACGCTCATAGACATACTATTCTAGATAGTTCAGATTTCCATCAGGTTGTTTTCAGTTTGCACGTCCATGTATGAGTGTCCATTTTTGTGTCAGTATGCGTTTGTGTCTGTCGGTGTGTCTGTCCATCTGTTAGTATGTCTGTGTTGTGCGAATGTGTGTGTTGCAGAGTGAGAGAGAGAGAGAGGGAGAGAGAGAGA